GGTCAGAGCCACGGCAGCCCACGGGAAGGCCTACACGTGGCCTTCCTATCGGAGGTCCTGAAACATACGCCGAGGTCTGCTGTTGATTACTACCCAGGGCACAGTCTCTTGTCGATATAAAATCCCGGAGGCACGTGGAGATACTGGTTATTATGGTCTTTGAGTTGGAAGAGAAATCCGAAGTAGTGATCGAATCCCCCCGAGGAACCACGTGAGGGGTACTAAAAACAAAACCGATGAGAGCGAGGTTGCCCTAATTGGTGAGGCCTTGCTCTCGAATGGCTCATCTAAGTGGCCACAAAAAACTGCCACTTTTTTTAAAAAAATTTTTTTTCTTTATTGCCCTGGCCAGTTTGGCTCAGCGGTTAGAGCCTCGGCCCGCGGTCCGGAGAGACCCGGGTTCAGTTCCCGCTAAGGGCATGTACTTTGGTTGTAGTTTGTCCCCGGCCCTGGTTGGTCGTGCGGGTGGCAGCCACTCGATGTGTCCCTTCATGTCGATGTTTCTCTCTCTCTCTCCCTTCCTCTTTCTCTCCCTCCCACTCTATCTGTACAAAAAATGGAAAAATATCCTCGGGTGAGGATAAAAAAAAAAAAAAAAAAAATTTTTTTCTTTATTGATTTGAGAGAGAGAGAAAGGGAGAGGGAGAGAGAGAGAGAAACACCGATGAGAAAGAACATCGATTGGCCGCCTCCTGCACGCCCCCCACTGGGGATCCCACCCACAACCTGGGCATGTGCCCTGACCGGGAATCGAACCGGCAACCTCTTGATGCATGGGTCGATGCTCAACCACTGAACCACACCAGCTGTGTAAAACCACCACTTTTTAATCTATTTGTTATATCAGTCAGAAAATTACAGTGTGGACTATCTGGAAGTTCAAGTCTTCCTAGTCAAAGTGACATTAAAATATGTTGGCTTCATTCTGCACCTAGTGAGTGAGAAGGTATCAGATAGTCCCCAGAATGGGAGCTGGTCATGGTAAGATTGGATGGCAGTTGCTGTGGCCAGCTCAGTAAGACGCCTGTGTAATTAGAGCATCATAGGATCGTGCGCTAACGAGGAGTTGGCACATTCTGCACAGTTACTCTGTCTTGTAAAAGTGGTTGGCAGTGTGATAGGCATACACAGGCTGGAGTGACCCCAAAGTTCCCCAAAGTCCATCTTCTTTCGTAACGAATCATTTAAAATTGAGTTGGATTAAATCGGGGTACTTTTTTGCTCTTCGGAGCATAGTTGATCGAATACACGTTGCTCTGACCAGCAGTACTACGTGGACTCGTGGAACTGACTTCCGTCCGCTTCGTTGTGGAGACTCGCAAGTAGCAGCAGACCAGGTGGGTGGCTGTTACATTCTGGCGTCTCCCGACAGACTTCACACACCTTATGTTCTCCACTCACAACAGGGAGGCTTAGGTGGAGGCGCATTCAATGACTAACAAAGGTAACTCGTGCCAGCTTGAGAAAAGTCAAGAGTAGTAGCTGAGTCTCTGAAAAGAAAAAAAAAATCAATTATTTTTCCTGTCCCCTGATTTATACTCAAATAAAAGAAAATTGTGAGCAGCTCTCTATATAAAGTAGGACAAAAATATAGGCTTATTTGGTCTTGTCACTTTATTTTTTCAATGTTTGTTCTACCTTAATTGTGGATTCTGTGCAGATTTCGTAAATCAGTTGTTTTACACAACCAAAATGTTGTATTGGCCGTTACAGAATATGATATTTCTGGCACGATTCATCTTTCTGCCAGTTTCACTATTGCTCTCCCGGTTTCAGCGGGTTGATTTCTTACTTGCCCTGTCTGCCTGGCTTTGTGTTGTTTGCCTGGCTTTGTGCTGTGGATTACGAATGTGAAAACCGGTATCTTACCACGCCCGCCGTTTGGTAGGGACGGTGCTCTGAGTGCACAGTTCAGACCAGTGTTGTGTCCTCTGAATGGGAAATTGTATCACGTCCTGGGAAATCATGTTCTCTAATGAGACAAATTGGTACAAATGGATTGTCAGATCTCTAGCACTACCCTGGGTTTTCTTCTTGATCATAAATCTTCTGTTTCTAAAAAAAATACATATTTCAGGATTCCATTCCTCTAACTCTGGCCTAATGCAAAGACGTGAAGAGTCTGAAGGACGGATCATTCCTACAAAACCTGACGTCTTCCCTGCTAGCAACCAAAGGAGGGAGGGAGGAGGGAGGGAGGGAGGGAGGGAGAGAGATTAAAGTTGGTAAGAGAAGACAGGAGAGGAGATGGAGGTCAGCAAGGACACAGGAGACCAAAGACGAAGGGGTCAAATAATTAGGTTATAAGCTGTAAACATCTGAGTGGCAGGAACTGTCTTTGTCCACCAGTGACTCTGGGTGGTAGACCCTCAGGACATGCTGTTGAGTGAATCACGGCAGGACGGACCATCAGCCTCTTCGATGCCTCCGCCCCCAGCTCCTCATCCTGTCCCGATTCCAGTGGCCTCTGCCTAGGAAACATGTTACCCATCTCTTCTTGCCCCTGCCCCGCACCAGGGCCTTGTCGCCTTTGCTTTCAAAATGCCCTCTCTTCTCCTCAACAGTGTGAACTCCACCCAGCTCTCAGGGTTATTGGTCTGAAACAAAGATGTGATAATGTCAGTCTAATTAAAAAACCCACAGTGGCTTCTCCTTAGAGTGGCATCCAACACTCCAGTCTCAGCAACTGTTTCTTTCTTTTTAATGCTCACCCGAGGACATTTTTCTCTTTATCTTCAGATAGAGTGGGAGGGAGGGAGGGAGGGAGAGAGAGACACATTGACTGGCTGCCTCCAGGATGACCCTGACCAGGGCCAGGGATGAACCACGACCGACCGAGGCACATGCCTTGACCGGAATCAAACCCGCAACTCATTGGTCCGCAGGCTGACGCTCTCACCGCTGAGCCAAACTGGCCAGGGCTCAGCAACCGTCTCTAACCTGGTTACACCTCTGCCTTCCACCCGCCAAGGGCACTGCTCGCTCCGCCGCTCGCTCCCCCTGCAGACAGGGCTTTGCCTCTATGATTTGGTCTAAGCTCTTTCCCTCTCCTGGACTGACAACCTGGAAGGTCCCACCAGACCATACCTTCTTTTTCTGAATTTTTTCTCACTCTGTTCCTCTCAGCCCATAGCAGAATGAATGTTCCCTCCTCTGCTTCTTTTTTTTTTTTTTTATCCTCACCCGAGGACATTTTTCCATTTTTTGTTCAGATAGAGTGGGAGGGAGAGAGAGGAAGAGAGAGAGAAACATCGACGTGAAAGGGACACATCGAGTGGCTGCCACCCACACGACCAACCAGGGCCGGGGACAAACTGCAACTGAGATACGTGCCCCCAGCGGGAACCGAACCCGGGTCTCTCTGGCCCGCAGGCCGACGCTCTAACCGCTGAGCCAAACCGGCCAGGGCTCCTCTGCTTCTGTTTTGTATTCTGTGTGGCCCGGAGCCCCTCCCCCCTTGTACTGGGCACTGTCTTTGATGGAGTAGCTTGACTCCTTGAGGATAGTGGCTTGTGCGTGTGGACATCTGTTTTCTTCAGCAGCGTGCGCAGCACGTAAAAAGTGCTGCACCCATCACCTCCTCCATCTCCACAGCAACCTGAGGGGCTTGGTGCTATTAGGACAACATCCCCAGTTTGCAAATTAAGAAAACTGAGCTCAGCCCTGGCCAGTTTGGCTCAGCGGTTGAGCATCAGCCTGCGGTCCGGAGAGACCCGGGTTCGGTTCCCGCTAAGGGCACGTACCTCCGTTGCAGTTTGGCCCCAGCCCTGGTGGGGTCGTGTGGGTAGCGACCACTCGATGTGTCCCTTTCGCGTCGATGTTTCTCTCTCTCTCTCCCTCCCACTCTATCTGAACAAAATATCAAAAAATGTCCTCGGGTGAGGACTAAAAAAAAAGAAAAGAAAACTGAGCTCAAAGGCCCATGGCTGGCACATGGCAAAACCTGAACCCCATCCTAGATCCATCTGAAGCCTCAATTGTTTTGCAATATTTCCCCTCCCTCGTTGTGTACCCCTGAGGCCTGCAGTAGGTCCTGTGTAAGTGTGTGTTGACTGAGTCATGAACTCTCCAGTCCACACGGGCCTTGGGGGCCAGCTGGTGGTGGGATTTCCATTAAAGGGGATCATGAAAGCTTCAAGGCACCATTCATAAAAATAAGGTGTTTAAAAGAATCTTCAGAACGTAAAGTAATTCATTATGTTGTCTCAGAAATGTTCGACTTGGGAAAAAGCGCTTCGATTTCCGAGTACACCAGCCTCTGTAACCCGGGACGCGGTCCCGCACAGCTGTGCAATGTCTGGGCTGGTTTCTGGGAGGCTGCTGCCCCCTTCCTTCTGTCGTTACGAATGGTCTCTGAAGTCGGATCATCTCGGTGAATGGTGGCTGGCATGATGCACGCAGAGTCAGCTGTAACGCATGTGAGCTCTGAGACAGAATACAATCCAAACGGGAATGACTGGGGTCAGCAAAATTTGTTGTAAAAAGAAAATTATGGCCCAGCTGGTGTGGCTCAGTGGATTGGGCGTCATCCCATGGACTGAGAGGTCCCGGTTCGATTCCTGGTCAGGGCACATGCCTGGGTTGTGGGCTCGATCCCCAGTAAGGAACATACAGGAGGCAGCTGATTGATGTTTCTCTCTCACGTCAATGTTTCTCTCTCTCTCGCTCCCTTCCTTTCTCTCTAGAAAATCATTAAAAACCTTTTTTTTTTTTAATGTGTTCTTTTAATCCATCATAAATCGGAAGATGCTTTCAGTGCCATGTATCCTCAGGGCTTGTACAAACGCGCACAGTGTCGAGCATGTTTTTTCCCAGGTTGTCTTCAGTGTCAGATGGTTCATCAGGACAGAACGTTGAACCCTTAAACATCTTGAGAGTGGATGTTAGTAAGAAACAGTGGTTTTAGTGCCTCTTTGTCGTCAATCAATTTCCCTCATAAACTGAGTAAAATGTAAAGTAGGTTCACTATTTTAACTTCTGTGTTTTTCCTCTAGTGTTGTTAATAACCGTGCTGGTGGTGGAGGGGATCGCCGTGGCCCAGAAGACCCAAGGTAAAGTAGTCACCGTGACAACCCAAACATGCGGCGGGGAAGGGGCTCATCCTAAAGGATCACAAGTGCTGAGGACCATTTTCGTCACCCTCCGCGGTGCTCCGATGACCCGAGGCTCCTGTCAAGCTGTCAGCCTCCACTAAACAGGGTTGAGCTGCCGTTGACCAGAGTAAATGGTCGACGTGAAGTGTTGCCCTGAGAAATTGTGTGAATGGGCATCACCAGGATCCTGGCGCGCTGTGGGTTGTGTCCAAAAGGTAGATGGGGTTCCTGCTGTATCACTAAGCAGAAATAAAACCAGTTTTCCCAGTGTTAGACAAACGATGATACCTTAGACCCCGTCGATACCTTGTCCGGAGCCCTCCTGGTTGTCCTTGTCCGCGAAAGATCAGCGGGTGCGGTTTCACTTCAGATTGTCACGTCAGAGCCGAATGCATTTCTTCCATGACCTGACTTATTTTTCATTCTCATCAGAGTTTTACCTGCACATGACAATAATCCAAGTATTCTAAACAGACGTCGGTTAGGAGGACCCCGAGCCCCACCCCGCCCTGCGCCACGTCCGGCTCCGTGGCTGTCACCGCTACGTGGCCGATCCCTTCTGCCTCCCTGCCTGGCTCAACGCCATGCTTCCCGTTACTTCTAGAGTAGCTCGTGGCTGGGGATCAGGTGGTGGCTGCCCACACAGAAAGGGAGAATGTGGCTCTGCTGGCTCTCCCGGCGCTGCCCCACCGCCCCTGGCTGGGCACCTGACCCTTCCAGTCTGTCCCCCTTTTCCCACAGTCACGCCCTCAATCTGGTAACATGCGTGCTTGGACTTACCTTAGGCCCTTCGGCGAGTGTTTTCACCGTGAAAATTCTCCTTCAGTGTAGGAAAGTGTTCTGGCCCTTTCCCTTCCCCCGTCCTCTGCTGTCTAGTGGGAGAGCAGCAGACGGTCCCCAGTGGGTGGACACGGGCCTGGCCAGTGAACCGCTGTGGTCCCGCAGCGGCCAGGCCCGGCGCTGAGCTCCCCTCTGGTTCTTTCATCCCTTCCACTGTTAGCAGCTTTCTCTTGTTTCTCCGAATGCTTCTGATGTACCCCTCTGTCCTTGTTCTTGTTTGGTCGGGGAGGTTTTTCTCTGAGATGAGATGGTAGGTCTGTTCAGTGGCTGTTACCGCTGTTTGTTTGTTTGATGTAATTTATTTCCTCAGTTGCTTGCTTGATGTTTTCACTCTGCTGGTCCGGATGCTTTCCTCAAATGTCCGGTGACTGTTGTCTGCTGTGTTTACAAGAGAAACACCAAACTTGACCAGCGGCAGGGGGTGGGCGGGGCCTGCTTGCCGCAAACTTTCAAGTGCAGTGACCTTGGGGACCAGCCCCTTCGTCTGCATCGCCAGGTCTTTCCTGTGGGCTCATGGAGTCCCCAGAGAAGGACTTTGTGTTTCCTGCCTGGAGACCCCGCCTCTGACCAGAGACTTTGGGGAGTTGTAGGGAGAGACAGGGAGGGTCGTTCGGTGTGTTCACACTGACCTCACCTCCCTGGTTGCAAGTTGACATGGTCACCCTGTCATGCCTGGTGTCCTCCCGCCCGGTTACTCTGTTTTATCCCCTCGGAAGAAATCCCCTCACTTCTGATGGGTTGATAGAGCAGCAGCTACAAGTATTTGTGGTGTAGGGGAGGGCATTGGAACAGAAACTGATTCTAAATAGACTTTTAACCAAGCCTCGTGTTCTCAGGAAGCCTCCTTTCTCCCCTGCCCCACACACACACGGCCAGACATCAGCACTGGGGGGTGTGCCTGTGGCACTGTCACCACTGAGTGTCACTCGCTGCCTCTTAGACTGAGATGTTTGTGCCCTTTAAAGAAAACCTTTGCCCTGGCTTGTTTGGCTCAGCGGTTAGAGCGTCGGCCTGCGGTCCAGAGAGACCCAGGTTTGGTTCCCGCTAAGGGCGCGTACCTAGGTTGCAGTTTGTCCCCGGCCCCGGTTGGGTTGTGCGGGTGGCAGGCTGCACTCGATGTGTCCCCTTTCACGTCGATGTTTCTCTCTCTCTCTCCTGCCTCTCCCTCCAGCTCTAATCTGACCAAAAAAAAAAAAAACGAAAAAAAGGTCCCTCCGGCGAGGGAGGATAAAAAAAAAGAAGAAAGAAAGAAAACCTTTACTGTTGTCTCGGGGATGTGAGAAAGTGAGAGCGAACGAGTAATTGGGTTCCAGTTACAGTCTTAAAGCCCTTTGAGTCCTACTGACTGATACACGGCGTCCAGAGGTCCCGTGCCAGAGGGGCTCCCGGAATCCTTCCCGTGTTACGTCAGAGGAACTTGACGCTGGTGCTGATTGGTCGGAACTTGACGCTGGTGCTGATTGGTCGGAACTTGACGCTGGTGCTGATTGGTCGGAACTTGACGCTGGTGCTGATTGGTCGGAACTTGACGCTGGTGCTGATTGGTCGGAACTTGACGCTGGTGCTGATTGGTCGGAACTTGATGCTGGTGCTGATTGGTCGGCTTCTCCCACGTGGGTTTGCCTGCTGAACCCAAGCGTTTCTTTCCGCTGCTGGCTCCCACGTGGACCTGCCCTGCAGCACCACGGTTCTCTGCAGCCGGCTGCAGACTTCGGCTTTCTGCTCTGCTGGGGTCGGCGTGTGCTGCGTCCGCCGGTGGTGCCTACCTGGGTGGATGCGTGAGCAGGGCGATGGCTGGGGAGCTGCGGGGAAGGAGAATGCCGGTCCCCTTTGCTGTGACTCACGTCGTCACCTGCTCTTTTCCCCCAAGGTGGACAGAACATTGGAATCAAGCACATGCCCGCCACCCAGTGCGGCATTTGGGTTCGAACCAGCAATGGGGGCCACTTTGCTTCCCCAAATTATCCTGACTCATACCCGCCAAACAAGGAATGCATCTACATTTTGGAAGGTATTTGACCCATTTCTCTCTTTTATTCAGTGACTGTCTACTTTATTGTAAAATTGAATCCAGTGGTAAAATGCCCCGTCTAAGCCAGTTTGAACAAAATTGAACATGCATTTGAATTGAGCTGTGGTAATTATAAGTATTTCTGAATACCAAACACATTAACAAGATAATTGTTGAAACGATGTCGGAGTTTTGGATATCCTGAGACGCACTCCGCTGGATGCACCAGTGCGGATGAGAAATCTCTCTGATGAGAAACTTAAACGAGCCCTGGTCAGTTTGGCTCAGGGGTTAGAGCATCGGCCTATGGTCCACAGAGACCCGGGTTTGGTTCCTACTAAGGGCGTGTCCCTCGGTTGCAGTTTGTCCCCAGCCGTGCGGGTGGCAGCCACTTGATGTGTCCCTTTCACGTCAATGTTTCTCTCTCCCTCTCTTCCTCTCTCTCCCTCCCACTCTATCTGAACAAAAAATGAAAAAAATGTCCTCGGGTGAGGATAAAAAAAAAAAAGAAACTTAAACGAACTGGCATCTCCTATTAGGCTTTATGCAAATTCACGACCGTGGTTCCTTGGTTGGTTGTTTCTTCCGTTTGTCTGCTCGTGGGCATTGTGTCTCGTGGACCACGCGTTAGCTTCTGGGCTCTAGGGAGAATCCACGACTGCGTCTCACTAATTTCCCAAGTCGCTAGGCCGGGGGAAGGGTGACTCCAGGGCCACAAGCAGCGTTATGCGTGGGAAACGCGTTCGGTGTGGATTTGATGTGTACCGTCCTGGTGAGGACGCTCCGCTGTGAGCGGGCGTTCGTGCCTTTTCTGGGGCGCGTGGCCCTGATCGGCCTGCTCTTACCTTCCAGCTGCCCCCCGCCAGAGGGTAGAGCTGACCTTCGACGAACACTTCTACATAGAACCGTCTTTCGAATGTCGCTTCGATCACCTGGAAGTTCGGGACGGGCCGTTTGGCTTCTCTCCGCTCATCGATCGGTTCTGCGGCGTGAAGAGCCCTCCGCTGATCAGATCCACAGGGCGGTTCATGTGGGTCAAGTTCAGTTCTGACGAAGAGCTCGAAGGACTGGGGTTTCGAGCAAAGTACTCGTTCATTCCAGGTAGGAGGCCTTCTCGCTCAGGAGGCCCGCCTCTGCTTAGCACCGGCAGGTAGAGAACAGGCCATCTGGTCGCTGACGCTGGGGCCGCGGGCTGTCCACTGACAGCCTCTCGGTCCCTGATGGGAACCAGGTGCATGTCACTGCTCTGTCTTCAAGGAGCCGCACACCAGCAAGGTGACCCCGTAACGGAGTGAACGAGGGTACAGTCCTTCTGCTTTTGTTTCGGTTTTCCTGCAAGAAATCTGTTAACTGAAATAAATGCACTCGTATCGGAATGAAAAGCAAGCGTCCACCGTGTTACTGCCCTGGACATAAAACCAGTGTTAGTGGTCAGGCATGAATCCCGTCGGCTGTTTTTCTGTTTCGACTTATTTTTTGTCTGTGTACACACGGCTTTATTGCCTGCTTTTTTTTGCCCAAACAGCATCGTCAACATTTTTTTTTCCTGGTCAACATTTTTTTCTCTATTACTAAACATCATGGGGATTTTTTTAGTGTTGCTCTGATATTTAGATTCTCAACTGCAAAGAGGCTAACTTTTCAAAATGTTAAATTCATCTGATAGATTTCTCCACAGAAAGCCTGCATGTGGGTATTCGTAGCAGTTTTATGTGTAATTGTTAAAACTAGGAAGCAACCAAGATATCCTTCAATAAAATAGGTAAAAGGTGGTCCACCCAGACAGTGGACCATTACTCATAATTAGACTATAGGTTTTAGAACAGTTTTAGGGCCCCAGCAAAACTGAGCAGAAAGTACAGAGTTCCCATGTACCTCCCCACACACATAAACACAAAGCACACATACACAGCCACCTCGCACACCAGCACCTCCCCACCAGACGGTGCAGTAGTTACAGTCAATGAACGTGCATTGACAAATCACTTTCACCCAAAGTTCGTGGTTTTCATTAGGGTCCACTGTTGGGCATCACATGTTCTATGGGTTTGGACACATGTACCATTTGTCTACATTACATTAGCACACAGAGTATTTCCACTGACCTAAAAGTCCTCTGTGCACATCTGTTCATCCCTCCTGCCCCAGCCCCTGGCAACCAATGATTTTTCACCGTCTCCATAGTGTTGCTTATTCCAGAATGTCGTAGAGTTAGAATCATACAGTCTTTTCAGACTGGTTTCTTTCACCTAGGAATGTGTATTTAAAGTTCCTCCATGTTTTTTAGTAGCTTTAAACTCATTTCTTTTTAACCCTGAATAACAATCCGTTGTCTGGATACACCGCATTTTATTTATTCTATTGGCTGCTTCCAGGTTTTAACAATTATGAATAAACCTGCTATAAGCATTCATATTCAGATCTTTGTGTGGAGAAGTTTTTAAATTTTGGTAAAAAACCAAGGAGCACAATTGATGAATCATACTAAAATTTTTTGAATTTATTTTGTAAATGGGTAGTGGTGATATTTATACAACATTGTGAATATACTTAATTCCACTTAACTGTACACTTAAAAATGGCTAAAAGAGTAGACATTATATATATTTTACTGCAATAAATTGCTAGTCTAAAATCTCTCAGAGCCTGGCTGGTGTGGCTCAGTGGTTGAGCATCAACCCTGCACCAAGAGGTCGCTGGTTCAATTCCCGGTCAGGACACATGCCCAGGTTGTGGGCCCAATCCCCAGTAGGGGGCATGCAGGAGGCAGCCAATAGATGTTCTCTCTCGTTGGTGTTTCTATCTCTTTCCCCTTCTCCCTTTCTCTCTCTCTAAAAATAACATAAAAAGAAAAAAGAAAAGAAAACTTAAAAAAAAAGTCTCAGAATTTTAGTTAACATTCAACACCTACTTTAAGACACAGTTTATTATATATAACTGGGTGTTCGATTCTTGATAAAGTTATTTTTAACTCCAGATCCTTTATCATGGTTATTAAATTATGAGTTGAAAAAAGTAGCAAGGAAATTTTTAGCTTAATAAACCAAACCCAACTAGAGGGAGGCAAAGATACTTCAGCTCTTCTGAGGATAAATGTCAAAGAGAAATTTCGATCTTACGCGGCTTTGGAGTAAAAGTCATAGGAGTTATCTGGCAAAGAAATCAGAATTTCTTCCTGTAGGGGCAAGAATTCTAGGGTGTTGTCATCATTGCACGAAAACTTCCAGAATCATCCCTGTTACATACAGGAAGTAACAGTCGTTAGGAGCCTCTGCCTCGACAGATATCACGGTAGCTTAGAGAATTTCATTTTAAAAAATACTAATTTTTCATCGTTGTTAGTAGGCTTCTTCCAGATTTACCAGTTCCTAGATAAAAGGTATGTTATAAATAGGACTTTAAATAACTAGACACCGTCATAATTGAGCTACTTATGCGTTGCCTCTTTATTTTGCCATGTTTTTGTGTTTGTTTTCCTTCTCTCATAGGGGTAAAACTGTGGAATCCTCACCCACACGGTAAAGTAAGAAAAACTGTGTAGGGAATTGGACCGGAGCCCTGGCCTTGCCGTTATATGACCTGAGGAAACCACAGTCTCTCTGATTCAGTTTCCTCGTTTGTAAAACGGAATATGACCTAACCCTCCTGACACCGCTCTCATTAGCGTGATATCAAACACGATGTACGCAAAGAGTCAGAAGCACTGTAAAATGCAAATGTGGGGTGGTATAGTCGAGAAATCCCAAGCACGTTACTCTAATTGGCTGTATTTCATCTGTAAGCCACGTAAGGTTGCTCTCATGATACAAACAACTAATAGAGAAAAAGAGCTAATTTTCTTCAGAATAAGAATCTTTCCACATAAAGTTGCCTGATCTTGTTTTCTAATATTTTAAAACATTATTCAGATAGTGAACAGGGTTGCTTTTGATGCCTCTGCTTGTTTGCAAAGACCTGATTCGTAGATAAGATTTTGTAACTTGCCTTTCTGACGCTCAGGGATCGGTTACTTCAGTTCATTGATATCCTTCCTAAAAATCAAACTCTGGCGATTCAATGAAGTCAGTTATTTTGACATAAACTGGTGGTTTTCAGTCTCCCCTAGCTGCTTCCTGGGGCAGAATACCTGCATGCCCCCTGGTCGTCTCTCTTTTCCTGCCTCTGGGGGAAAAAACAGCCGAACTTTCATCATTTTACCCCTTTTCAAGTGTACAAGCCAACGTGTTAAGTACATGCATTATGTTGTGCCACCATCACCACTGTCCTTGAAGCTGAAACTCTGACCCATTCAGCAGCTCCCATCCCCCCTCCCTCCAGCCCCTGTTACTTACCGCCTCGAATTGGACTATTCTAGATACTTCATAGGGGTGGAATCACACAAGATTTGCCCTTTCGCATCTGGTTTATTTCACTCAGCCGTGTTCCAAGGCTCATCCATACTGTAGCATGTGGATGAATTTCATTCCTTTTCAAGGCTGTGGAACACTCCATGGTGTTGTGTGACAACATTTTGTGTATCCCTTTATGTGTCAGTGGGCTACCTCCTGCTCCTGGCAGTGATGAGTTTTCAGGAAGCACAAATAAGTTATTAACGTAGGATGAGATCAAAAGTATGTATGTTGTCACTTAAAGACACTGATCCTATCAGTGGGCGTTGAATGTGCGCATAAATAACCGGTGATCCCTAGCCTGCAGCAGGGAGCTTTCTCTTGCACTGTTATGAAATGTACCGGCAGGCGTAACTTAAGAGGTCACGCCTTAAAGCGACTCCACTGTGTTTCAAAATGCCAATGACATTCTTCTTTTTTCTGTTACAGACCCAGACTTTACTTACCTAGGAGGTATTTTAAATCCCATCCCAGGTTTAGTATATTACCCTTGTTTTCCTCATGGCATTGTTTGATCTGTCTTCTTTCCCTTGGAACATACTCATCTGTTCTTTCTAGATTGCCAGTTCGAGCTCTCGGGAGCGGATGGGATAGTGCGATCCAGTCAGGTGGAACAGGAGGAGAAGACGAAGCCCGGCCAAGCGGTGGACTGCATATGGACAATCAGGGCTACTCCGAAGGCCAAGGTACAAGTACCTGCGCAGTCGCTTCGAAGAAGAACCTAAGACGTGATTCGTATAATGTGTTAGTTTGGTTTGTGCAGGTACTTACTGATTATAAACTGATATTACAACTTTCTTTTGGTTACATTGTAAAGTACCTCCTAAGATCTCAGCATCATTGCTGTTAAACAAGTTACAATGTAAATTTCAGGAATATCACACCTACTTGAAGATTCTTATTTTAAGAATTTTAAGGTTCTTAAAATCTGTGGATTCCTAATTGAAGAGTGCAAGTGTTGATCAGGATGATCATAGATTCATTAAAAATGTTTTACTTCCCTGGCCAAGTGGCTAAGTTGGTTGGAGCGTCATCCCGTGCACCGAAAGGTTGCCAATTCCATTCCAGTCAGGACCCTGCTGGAGGCAACTGATCGATGTGACGTCTGTCTGTCTGTCTCTCTCCCCCTCTAAAATCAATAAAAACATATCCTTGGGCCCTGGCTGGCATTGCTCAGTGGTTAGAGCGTCAGGCCCATGTACCGGAGAGTCTCGGGTTCAATTCCTGTCAAGGGCATGTACCATCTGGGTTGCAGGTTCGATCCCTGGCCCCGGGTGGGGCTTGTGCAGGAGGCAACCTATCTATGTGTCTCTCTCACATCGATGTTTTTCTCTTTCTCCCCTTTCTTTTCTACTCTTTCTAAAAAAATTCAATGGAAAAAATATCAGGTGAAGATTAAAAAACGTTTACGTTGTAGGAGGAGGGAAAATGGGTCACAAGAAGTTAAAGCGTCTTGTTAAAGGTCAGAGTTGGCCGCGGCAGCGTCAAGCCAGACCCAGCACACTGAGTCTCAGTTCTGTGTTCTTGCTCCGCTCTCCCCCGCTAGTCACAGCTTTTCCCAGAAAGCACCGCGGGAAAGGGGGTTTCGAAGTGACTGACAGATTGAGATCGGCTGCTAACGACGCCTGCTTTCTGCTTCTAGGACGTTCAGCAGTTAAAAGTATACTCAACTTGTACATATGTAAAAAGAGTCAAAGAGAGAGTATGGTGGGAGAACAAACCTTTAAGAAATTATGAAAACCCACCCAGCCGGTGTGGCTCAGGGGTTGAGGTCGCTAGTTCGATTCCCGGTCAGGACACATGCCCTGGTTGTGGGCCAAAATCCCCAGTGGGGGGCGTGCAGGAGGTGCCAATCGATGTTCTCTGTCGTCAGTGTTTCTCTCTCTCTCTCCCTCCCTCTTTCTAAAATCAATAAAGAAAAATGGAATAAATTATGAAAACCCAATTTACAGTTAGGTAATATGTCAAATTCGGTAACCTAAAACCCACCTGTGACAAAACACCTGGAGACGCTGGGTAAATGTAACAGGTTTTTGTTTTGTTCTGTTTTTAAGCATTGCTAAGCTCCCCAAAAGGAGGTAGTTCTCTTTTTAATCCTCACGTGAGGGTATTTTTCCATTTATCTTCAGGTAGAGTGGGAGGGAGGGAGGAACAGAGAGAGAGAAACATCGATGTGAGAGGGACACATCGACTGGTTGCCTCCTGCACAACCCCGACCAGGGCCAGGGCCAAACCACAACCGAAGTACGTGCCCTTGGCCGGAACCGAACCCACAACTCTTTGGTCTGCGGGCCGACGCTGTAACCGCAGAGCCAAACCGGCCAGCGCAAGGAGGTCGTTCTTATGGAACAGAAATGGAGAGAGAGAACTGTAACCTGGAGCAATAAACTGGCGGCTGAAATTGAGGTGGAGACGCCAGTGCTACTTTAGTGACCGATGCCTCGGGGCGGACCCGGCCGGCCGGAGGGGTGTTCGCAGCCACACTGAGACAGAAGCGGGAAGGCCCGGGGTTCGTGTGACCTCTCTGCCGCCTCCCACGTGGACCGGCACCTGCAGAGGGGGTCACCGTGAGGGCAGAGCGGACCACCCTCCCACCAGCACAGGTGGAAGACAAGTTTACCTTTCTGGGCTCAGTCTCAGGATGGGGGGCGTCTGGGGTCTCCCCTAAACCTATATACCTAGAAACCTGTCTTGATGGACAATCTGAGATGTGAACTGACATTCCCCGCTCAAGCCAGGAGCCACGTGCCCCAAAATTCACAAACTGATGCTGAGCTCCTAACACCTTTGCGGCGCCTGGCAAAAACAAAGACCACGTCACTGACTGGAGGCCACAGGGTCACTGTAGATGACACACCGAGCGTGAGCCCACAGCCTAAATGAGAACGCACTACATGGACCCCATCTGGAGTGAGAGCGGGTGTGACAGCCCCTCTGTGGACGGGGGTCCCTAAGTGTCCTGCAAGGAGAACGGCCGGGCGCCCTGTAAAATAAGCAGCGGGAGCTTCGACAAGTGAACGGCACCGTCATGAAAGACAGGCCTGAGAACACGACCCAGAGTGCGCGCTGGGGCCGAGGCAGTGGAGGTGGGCATGGCGGAGGTTCTTTCTCCCGCACTCAGTCTCCATGAGACTGCTTTTACAAGGACAACGTGTACGACAGCGATGCCTCATGGGGCCAGCGTCTCTTCTCTATGGAGAAACACAATCTCTGGGGTCCTTAATGCTTGGTTCCCGTGTGTTAACCAAAGAAACAGTCTGAGTGCTTTCACCACTTAGAAGTCAGCCTCGCCCGGCCGGGGTGGCTCAGTGGTTGAGCGGCGACCCTGCACCAAAAGGTCGCCGGTTTGATTCCCGGTCAGGGCCCATGCGCACGTTGTGGGCCCGATCCCCAGTGGGGGGCATGCAGGAGGCAGCCAGTCAGTGTTCTCTCTCATCAGTGTTTCTGTCTCTTCCTTCCTCTGTCTCTAAAACCAATAAAGAAAAAAAAAATTTTTTTTTAAAGAAGCAGCCTCCCCTTTACTGTTTATCTGTCAGCTGTCATGACTCAGTTCAGTCGACATTGTAGATGGGCAATAGAACTGAACATTCAAGCCGATGTATCTTTTCATTTTTTAAATTTGTATTCATTGATTTGAAAGAGAGAGAGAGAGAAAAACATTGATTTGTTGTTCCCCTTATACATTTTTTGGTAGATTCCTGTATGTGCCCTGACTGGGGATCGAACGCGTAACCTTGGCATATCGGGGTGATGCCCTACCCTCTGAGCTCCGCCAGGGCCTGGCTGTCTTTTTAAAAGCAGTGTTTTTCTTTGTTTCAACACCGCAGATCTATTTGAGGTTCCTAGACTATCAGATGGAGCACTCCAACGAGTGCAAGAGAAACTTCGTCGCCGTCTATGACGGAAGCAGTTCCATTGAAAACCTGAAGGCCAAGTTCTGCAGCACGGTGGCCAATGACGTCATGCTCAAAACAGGAGTCGGCGTGGTCCGCATGTGGGCGGACGAAGGCAGCCGGCTCAGCAGGTTCAGAATGCTCTTCACCTCCTTTGTGGAGCGTAAGTAAACAATCCCTGCCGACATGAGATCTTTTACATCATTTTCGTTCATGCAGAACAGTGATTGAGACAAAGACTGCAAGTCACAGGGTGTAGAAATGACTGCGTCTTGGTCCCTCTTCCCACGAACCTGATTCTCGTGAGTGGAACAGCGATGTTGGTTCGTGAGTAGCTACCGCAGGGTAGGGAGACCAGGCAGGGTAGTCTTCTCTCAAGATTTTGAAAATTAAAAAGAATGATCAGTGGTAGTGATTCTGCTTGATAAATAATTATGAATCCAGTAAACTGTGATCACTGAAGATTTAGATTGGCTATGTTTTCTTTTTCTTTTTTTTACTTTTTGTTTTTATTTTTTTTAATCCTCACCTGAGGACATTTTCCATTTTTGGTTCAGACAGAGTGGGAGGGAGAGAGAGGAAGAAACCTCGACGTGAAAGGGACCCATCGAGTGGCTGCTACTCGCACGACCAACCAGGGCCGGGGACTCTTTTTTTTACTTTTTATTCTTAAATAATTTCAGCTTATGGAAAGGTGTAAAAATAGTAGAGTTCCCGTAAGCCCTTCCCTCAGATTCCCTGAATGTTGACATCTTGCGAAACTATTACCACTGACATCATATTACTGACCAACCATGCAGACCTCACTCGATGTCCCTGGCTGCCCATGAATGTCCCTCCTGCTCCAGGGTCCCACCTGTGACACTTCTGAGCCTCCCGTGACCTGTATGCGTTTGAAGGGAACTGCCCAGTCGTTTGGTCCGTCAGTTTAGGTTTGTCTGATAGTTTCTCATGGGTTTAAGGAGCTCACGTACTTCTGTCCCAGATGCCCAGGAATCCGGATCCCTCTCTCCGTTCTCCTCCCCTGTGAGTGAGGTGGGGGGCGCCTGTGCCTCGCGTCTGCCGGGGCTCCCCGCCACCGACTCGGGAACGTTTTCCTGATGAATAATTAGTGTCTCTGAGACTTCGCCAGTATCTTTGTGCTTGGTGATCTCAGTCAGCCAGTTTCTGCCCTGATGGTCAGTGCTGTGCTGTTCACTGGGAGGGGTTCCGCTCCCCTCCTTCCTTCCACACGTCTTGATTATAGCCCCGCTGTAGAGGAGAGCTGTTTGTTTGCTCGTGAGTGAGTCTGTTATTCATTTATACAACCTGTAAGTTATATTATTCCGGAGCAATCATTGTTGCTCACAGTCCCTGCTTTGGCGTGAGACCCCTTCCGGCCTCCGGCACCTCTTCAGTTTGCCTGTTGTTGAGTCTCTTCTTGCGTTCTGTTCTAACTGTCAGCCACCTGCTCTCTCCGTGGTTCGGCCAGCGTCGCAGGAGAGGGTTCTCTGCAGGGACCAGACTAAAGTGGCCCCACTCGCTCCAGTCCTGCAGCAGAACAGCCAGCAGAACGCGTCCTTCTCCCCGGGCGCTGACCATAATGCGCCCCTCGGTCTAGGCAAGGGCGTGGTTCGTGGTTCTAGGGCCGCGATTTCGAGGGCTGGAGGTGTGAACGCGGGGGGACACGTTTTTGTCGGAGTGACCCCGTAACGGGTTTCCGTGACCCGCGGCCTGCGGGCGGCGAGGACAGTCCGGCCCAGCCACGGCCGCGGCGCAGGGGGACGGAGAGCCTCGGCCGAGTCCCCGCTCCCGCCTGGCACGGCAGCGCCCTCTGTGCCCCCGTACTTCCCAGTGCCGGCGTGGCCTTAGCCTTCTGCCCGCGGCTGGTGGCCGGGCCGCACTGTGCTCGTCCGTCCCAGCCCGCACAGCCGGGACCTTCGTGATTAGAAAGAAGCTCGCATTTCTGCGGAACCGGCCCGGGTCGTGGCCGCTCCCTAGAGTCCTTCCACGTGGACAGCCGTGGTCAGGGCTCTGGAACCAGCCGGCTGCTCCCCGTCACTCCACGAGAGACCCTGAGCAGAAGGCCTGCCCCTTTTTTTTTTTTTGCCACTTTTGAAACTGTAAGAGCAGTCACATAACGTATCGTGGATAAACCTGAAGAACTGATGATAGTTTGACTCAGAAAATCGGAGTAGCTAGAAGCTGCAGTGCTGTTGACAACCTCCCTGGCTTCTGTTCCGTGTCCCCATCTGTGCACTGGATACTGTAGGGAAAATTAGAATTCCACTGTAACACGATACAGTGGGAAACAGAAGCATGTATGATACAGAAACAAAACTCCAGCTTTTAGAAATGAATTCAAAATGGCGTTGTGGGCCTGGCCGGTTTGGCTCAGTGGTTAGAGTGTCAGCCCGCAGACCAATGAGTCGTGGGTTCAATACCAGTCAAGGGCATGTACCTCGGTTGTGGGTCACCAGGTTGTGCGGGAGGCAACCAATCGATGTGTCCTTCTCACATCGATATTTCTCTCTCTCTCTCTGTCTCCCTCCCTTCCTCCCACTTAATCTCCTGATAAACAGAAAAATATCCTCAGATGAGGATTAAAAAAAAAGGCTTTGTGTTCTTACATTCTCAAGTGCACACATTCAGGTACTACGGTTTTTTATTACATAGCACAACCGAGGTGGGTACACTAGCTAATTCCATACTTAAAATGCCACCATGCATCTTCATTGGCCTCCTGTCCTCAGTCCAATGGCTTATATGTAGCCTTATGAGGAGCTCTAAAACCAAGCATTTTTTAAGAATCATGAAATTCTTATTTTAGTAGTTCAAATCAGCGATTTTCAACCGCTGTACTGCGAGAATTTTTAACACATGCAGTACCTGACTATTTAGCCAGGGGCACTGACCTCTTTTCCCTGAGACTGTCAAATAAAAGAGAGAACAGCCCTGCCGGTGTGGCTCAGTGGCTGAGCGACGACCCTGCACCAAGACGTCATCAGTTTGTTCTCAGTCAGGGCACGTGCCCAGGTTGTGGGCCTGATCCCCAGTGAGGGGCACGCAGGAGGCGGCCCATCGATATTCTCTCTCATCCATGTTTCTCTCTCTCTCTCTCCCTCTCCCTTCCTCTCTCTAAAATCAATAAAGAAAAATAAATAAATAAAACGAGGGGGAAAAATGAGAACAGCTGCCCTGGCCGGTTTGGCTCAGTGGTTGGCACGTCGGCCCTCAGACCAATGAGTCTCGGGTTCGGTTCTGGTCAAGGGCACGTCCCTCGGTTGCGATTCGGTCCCTGGCCCTGGTCATGGCCGGGTGGGAGGCAGCCAGTCGCTGTGTCTCTCTCACTTCAGTGACTCTCCTTCTCCTTCCCTCCCTCCCTCCCCTCTATCTGAAGACAAACGGAAGGAGTAGCCTCCGGTGAGGATTTAAGGAAGAAATGAGTACAGCGAACACAATAGCCGTCTGGTGTGAATTAATCAAAATTATACCTATATTTTTGTCAGACTGGCAAAAAGTATATATATTTTTTTGTCTAGATGATAGGATTCTGACAGGTTGGTGGTGTCTGGGGACTTGCCCTCTGGGTGTGCCGTCTTGGTACACGTGGACGGAGCAGGAGACCAGCCTTTCTGGGTCATGTAACAGCCCCGTCAGCTCTTAGCCCGGGTCCGAGCAGCTGCACCCCAGCCACTCGTGTCCACGGAGCCGAGGCCCAGGAGGAGGGTATCAACTCCAGGTGGACCGCTCGCCCCCGGCCCGGTGTCTGCTCGGTACTGTCCATCGATGGTTCCAGTTCCTGCCTCGCAGCAGAACCTCCGCTTTCCTTCTGGGTGAAACAGGGACTTTCTGAAAATAAAAAACGTAGAGTGTGCCTGGCAGTTTGGCTCAGCAGTTAGAGCGTCGGCTCGAAGACCAAAGGGTTTCGAGTTTGATCCCCGGCCCTGGTCGGGCATGTGGGGGTGGGCAACCAGTGGGTGTGTCTCTCTCACATTGATGTTTCTCTCTCTCCCTCCCTCTCGCTCCCTCTCTCCCTTTCACTCACTAAAAACCAATATGATTTTAGGTGAGGATTAGCAAAAAAAAAGTAGAATTTTTAGGCAGGAAATACATTTTGTGTGATTACATTCTGGGAGTCAGTGTTTGTTGACTGGAGGCTGTCATACGCCTGCCTAGGTGGGGGAGTAAGCTGCCCACTTCTGGATTTGCGGGTGTCCCGGAAATCCAGGGGGTCCCGGATCGGTGCCTTGGCCTCCACCCAGGACTTGCCTCCTGAGAGAAGCAAGCCCCCCGCACCGCAGGCTAGCAAACCGGGGCTGCCGTCCCAGGCCAGATAAGTAGAGGGGAACCGAGCGGGGCAGGGTCGTGCAGGGGTCTCTGACTGTAGGGAGCTGAGGGGCCTCTTCACAGAGAGGACAGCGTGTGGGGCGGCCCCGGCAGAGGAGTCTGGTCCCCAGGAGGAGGAGGCAGATGTTTCAGACAAAGAACAGCATATACAAGTATGTGGTATATAAACATTTAAAAAAAAAAATTAGAAATTCCCAAGAGTGTTTTATTTTTCTCTTTTTCTTATGGTCAAATCTGTGTAACCTAAAACTTACTGTGGCAGGTGTCCAAGTTGCTGTCACGAAGCCCATGCACACTGGACAGCCATCTCCAGGACTTCCCATCCTCCCGAGCCAAAATTGTCCCCACTGAACCCGTCCCCATCCACCCCTCACCCTGCTCCCCGATAGCCTCGATCCGGTTTTCTGTATGATCTTGGCTGCTCTCGGCACCTCATGTATGTGGGATGGTACAGTAGTGACCCTTTCGTGCCTTCTGAAAACATTTACCAGGCTATGTACCAGTTTCAGAACAACCCTGGGAATAGATTCATATTGGCATCACGTTGGCAGCAACCTTTTGGAATCAGTGTAAGAACAGTTGGCACGAGTCCGAGAAGGGTATTCCGGGGCAGGGAAGGCCTCCAAGGCAACATAGTCACTTCCTAACGGCGAGTGCGGAGTCCACCAGAATAAACTCAGTCTGTGTACTGTCCGTTCCTGGCAACAACGTGTCCTCTCTCCGCAGCTCCCTGCACGGGCAGCACTTTCTTCTGCCACAGCAACATGTGCATCAACAACTCCTTGGTCTGCAACGGGGTGCAGAACTGCGCGTACCCCTGGGACGAAAACCACTGCAAAGGTGAGTCCCCAGCGAGGGCCAAGCCGTTGGGGAGGAGGGCGGCCTCGCGTGCCCGGCTGCCCCTGCGCCTGGCAGCTGCTTCGGCAGAACTGCAGACGTACAATATCTGCGCCCTTTGAAGTGAATCTTACACCTCGGGTGTGAACACGAAGAAATACACCACTTCTCCAACTATGGTTTTTATCTCCAGTTGCGCAGAAGCTCATCAGATTTTTGCCCTTATTCTTTTAGTCATTGGAGATACCCTTCTTCTGAAAACTATTTTAAAGTGACCTAAAGTCGTAGTATTTTTTTAATTATATGGCAACACTATTTAATAAAAATCAACTGACGGATTCAGTCTTACAATGTAAAGCAGACTACTTATAAAAACTGCATGTTGCCCCGGCTAGTGTGGCTCAGTTGGATGGGTGTCGTCCCAGGCACCGAAAGGTTGCCAGTTCGATTCCCGGCCTGGGTTGCCGGCTCGATCCTGGGGTGTGGGGGTAATGCAGGAGGCAGCTGATGGATGTTCTGCTCTTACATCAGTGTTTCTTCTCTCTTTCCCTCTCTAAAAAAATCAGTTAAAAAATGTTAAAGAATAAAAGAACTGCTTGTGTTCAGTTCATAAAATCCCCTGCATCTTCTTTCCACTGTGTATTCCCCAAAAGATACATACGGCTGTGGTCATAGTTGAGTGTCCACAGCTGGTTATCAGATCACTGGCTCAGTCCTACAGTTTTTCTACCTTTTACTCTCCAAAGGTTCAGTAAATATCTCACTATGAAAAGTGAATGGAATCTGACATGGCTGTTTTAAATACTTGACATAAAGCATTTTCGGGTGATCATTCTGTCAAAAACCATAGCACAGACCTTGTGGGTTAGCCTGGTCATCTTAGTTCTCTCATGAGGTGGCCCTCTGTAGAAAAACCTGGGAATGGGCCCGGCTGGTTTGACTCAGCGGTTAGCATGTCGGCCCATGGACCGAAGGGTCGTGTGTTCGATTCCTGGTCGAGGGCACGTACCTGGGTTGCAGGTTCGATCCCTAGCCCTTGTCAAGGTCATGCTGGAGGCAAACAAATCCTGTGTCTCTCTCAAAATGATGTTTTTCTCTTCCCTTCCACTCCAAAAACAAATCAATTGAAAAACATCCTCAGGTGAGGATTAACCAAAAAACAGAAAGAAAAGGAAAAACTGAGTCTCCAGACCTGCCCTAGAGCAGAAGGCTGGTCAGGACTGAACTAAGCATTTGTTTTGGCGTTTTCTGTGTGCGCATATTTAATTCGATTTGCAGATTGTGTGCCTTCCTGTGCCTTCTGAGCAAAGAACCGAGTTCTTTTTCATTTTTGTAATCTGTCTAGCTCAATGATTGGTTACTTATTACAATCATAAATCATAATAGTATTATTCTGTTTTCAGGAGTTTAAAACCTAATTTTATCCCTGGCCAGTTTGGCTCAGTGATCAGAGCATCGGCCTGTGCACCGAAGGGTCTTGGGTTCGATTCCCAGTCAAGAGCACATACATACCTGGGTTGCAGGTTCAATTTCTGGCCCCGGTTGGGGTCAGCAGGAGGCAGCCAATCCATGTGTCTCTCTCCCATTGATGTTTCTCTTGTCTCTCTTTCTTTCCCTCTCCTTCCCTCCCTTTACCTCTCTGAAAAAAAATCAATGGAAAAAATATCCTCGGGTGAGGATTGACCCAAAGCCACTCATTTTAAATTGTATTATCTGCAGTGTTTCACTCACGCATCGCCCTGCGTCAGCGGGAGGCGCCTGCCCCATCCGTGACGGGTCCTTAATGGGCATTGAAAGCCTGTGCATTTCTCTCTCTTCCCGCAGAAAAGAAAAAGGCAGGACTATTTGAACAACTCACTCGGACTCACGGGACAATCATCGGCATCACGTCGGGGGTCGTCTTGGTCCTTCTCATCATTTCTATTCTAGTGCAAGTGAAGCAGCCTCGGAAGAAGGTCATGGCTTGCAAAGCTGCCTTCAATAAGACTGGGTTCCAGGAGGTGTTCGACCCGCCGCACTACGAGCTGTTCTCCCTGCGGGACAAGGAGCTGTCCTCGGACCTGGCCGACCTGTCGGAGGAGCTGGACGGCTACCAGAAGCTGCGCCGCTCGTCCTCCGCCTCCCGCTGCGTGCACGACCATCACTGCGGGTCGCAGGCCGCCAGCGGCAAGCAGAGCCGGACCAACCTCGCCTCCGTGGAGCTGCCCTTCCGCAACGACTTTGCACAACCACAGCCCATGAAAACGTTCAACAGCACCTTCAAAAAGAGTAGCTACACGTTCAAGCAGGCGCACGAGTGCCCCGAGCAGGCCCTGGAAGACAGAGTGATGGAGGAGATCCCGTGCGAAATCTACGTCCGGGGCCGAGAAGATTCCGCACAGGCGTCCATCTCCATCGACTTCTAACCTCCCCCTGCAGACGACCCCCGGTCGCCAAGGACGTGTGTCCGCAGCCTCCAGGGCACCCAGCGTCTTCAGCGGCCAGCCCTTTGCTCCTGTCCAATCTGCAGAGCCTTTCACGTCCCGGCCACCTGTTGTAACAGTGACGTTTTTATGATCTCAGGCAGTTGTGTATGTTGAGCCAACCAAGGAACTTACTCCATGCGGCGGGAAGGGTCATCCCCATCTATTGCTCGGTGTGACACACGGAGCCCAGTGGGATGGCACTGGAAGGGGCCGCGGGCAGGGGAGCGGCGGGCCACCTGCTCGGGTAGCCGCGGGACCCTGCCCTTCATCGACAGCTCTGTCTGTCGCTATTTTGATCCCACGAGAAGTTTAAAGATAAGATTTTTCTTTACATTCCTTTTAATTTTTTTCTTTAAATTATTTGTTGTGTAAGCCAGTAATTTTACCATTTCATTTTCTTCCATAAATACACGAGGTTAAAGTACTGCACATACTTCAACGTGGGCCTTTGTTCTAGGCTTTGCCAAAACCCGATTGTTACTGTGGTGAGTGTCGATTAATTCCCGGAGTTATACTTCACCCATCTGTTTCTTCCCGACTAATTTCTTCCTGCGTTTTAGTCACTGGATCCTCCGCCTTTATTTTCTGTAAGAAGCAGATGACATGGTATCACTTATCATCTGTACGTCATGCTGTCTTAGTGATGTTCTTATACAAAAGTTCATAACTCTGGGGTGTATGAACCATTGCCAGTTCTGACTAAAACCTTGAAAAAGATGAAAACGTCTAGAAAATCCTTTGAAATTTCCCAAATTTGATCACATTCGGTGGTAACCCATTCATCCCTGTGAGCAGAGTCATTGCCTTCCTTTTGAAGAGCCTGTAATTTTATTCGCAGTGTTTCTCATCCCCAGATGTGTTGCCCATTATTTTTATGAAAAGCGTATTTAGCTCCCTTTGTATCAGCTCATCTTACAGCACGTGGTGACCACGGTTGCGAGACTTAACGGAAAACTAAGGAACTGTAGCAGCTGTTAGATCGCATCTTACTTGGGACACGCCTTTTTTCTAGTTCCTACCGAGAATAACAATTTCCACTTTTTCTTTTCCAATGCACTTTTGACCTTTTTTTTTTAATGGTATAAAAATAGTAATTTATAAACATGATACAAAAACTCATTTTTTTTTTAGACTTTTGATAATTATTTGATACTGTACGAAGTTTATTAAATGGAGATTGAAGACCTACATGACAGGTCTCACATTAGCAGCTCTGTAAACAAATATGCCCTGAGGGGACAAGGTGCACTGTAATTTATTTGGTTTTGTTAGTTCTTACCCGAGAATATTTTTTGCATTGATTTTTAGAGAGAGTGGAAGGGAGGGAGGGAGGTGGACAGAGAGAGAAACATCAGTGTTTCTCTGCGACCCAGGTACGTGCCCTTGACTGGGAATCGAACCTGCGACCCTTCCTTTGGTCCTTGGGCCAGTGCTCTAACTGCTGAGCCAAACTGGCCAGGGACACATTGTAATTTATTGTAAAGACCTTGGTAATGTGTACATACGCTTTTTGTTTCCTTTGGTTATTGCCTTTGGTATATGATAAAACTTTTCACTCTGTGATATTTATTGTTCTAAATCACTACACAAGTCTTGTATTAAACTATACATTGTTACAGGATTCCTCAGTCACGTTATTTATGGCGTTGAGTTTGGGGATCGTAGACATGGGAAGGAATCCATTTATTGAATGATAACCAATACAGACATGCCATTCAAACAAGGTAGATTCTCATTTCCTATGTGGTTTTTGTTTTGTTTTTTATAGTAAATTCTCAATGAAATGAGAAATTGAAGTTTTACTAGAATGGATTTTGTTCATTCTTTTAAATATCACATCTCAGACTAGTGAAAACTGTGTCCTTAAATGATATATATATAATACTCCTTCAAAATGAGTCTTGGATCACATTATTTTTATTTTTTTTTAAGTACATAATATCCAGAAGGTAAGAAAACTTACACGTAGTATGTATTCATGATTTAATTTTTTAAATATGTTTTTATTGATTTTTTTAGAGAGAGAAGAAGGGAGAGAGAGATAGAAACATCCATCTGAGAAACATCAGTCGGCTGCCTCCCGCACGCCCCCTACTGGGAATTGAGCCCACAACCCGGGCATGTGCCCTGTGGGACCTCTCAGTCCATGGGTCGATGCTCAGTCCACTGAGCTACACCGGCCTGGCTCATGATTTAATTTTTTTAAGTCACCATAATTTCTTGTTTTAAAAATACAACTTGGGAAGGTAAAAAGACTAATGAATGTAGCATTCAATGAACTAGTGATCCAGAGCCAGATTAGGCATCTAAATTCTTTCCATCGCTGTGTTGAATAGGTCTTTTAATAGGTAACTTGCCAGCCAGCATTTGAAGAACACAGTAGATACTTAATACAATAATAGCTCATCTCATTCTTCACGATGATGAAAGGAAAACTCGTGTGTTTGCTTTGTAAAATCATATCCATTGTGAAAACAGTGCTATTCATCTTTAACATCTAAAATATAGTCGAAAATAATACAGTGTGCTGGACTACCTTATCTATAGTCACTGTAACTTTATTTTTGAAATGTGTATCATTTTCAAAGGGCATGAAGAGGCCTATACAATACAGTCTTTTTTTTTTTATCCTCACCCGAGGATATTTTTCCATTTTTTGTTCAGATAGAGTGGGAGGGGGAGAGAGAGATAGAGAGAAACATCGACGTGAAAGAGACACATCGAGTGGCTGCCACCCGCACAACCCAACCAGGGCCGGGGACAAACTGCAACCGAGGTGCGTGCCCTTAGCGGGAACCGAACCCAGGTCTCTCTGGACCGCAGGCCGACGTTCTAACCGCTGAGCCAAACCGGCCAGGGCAAACACATTTAACATTTAAACAGCACAAGGCAGCAAGTACAGCTTGGACAACAGATTAGGTTCTAAATCGTCTGGCTTCTAGAACCAATGAAATCGCGTTTATTCTTCACAGTACAAAAGCCAGACGCCTACAGGTGCTGGTTTCTCTTCGCCTAAATAAAGAGGGGGGTCTTTGTCCAGGTGCCACTGCCCCAGAACTTAAAAAAGACGCCCAAGGCAGAGGGAGGTCGTGATGGTACTGAGCCCAGTGAAGCACGGCTTAGCGTGGCCTGGGGACACTGGTTTCTGGTCATTCTCTGCAGGGACAGAGCTGGAGAACCAGGTGACTGCCAGCCAAGCCAGCCTGAGCCCACCGCGTGCCACGTGCCGTCACCAAACTGGAGACGGGCATTCGTTCTCGTGGATTTGTGATCAGACACGTGGCAGCCGTGACAGGAAGGGGAGGCTGGGACTGAGGCACTAGGCGTTATTTCAGCACAATGCTCTTCGCTCGACTGGCGTCTTCCAGGTCAGTGAGAAGACTGCACCGTTGATGAAGGTAAAAGCCGTGTCTTAGTAACGGGAGACGAAATGGAGCCATGCTGGGGGGTCCGTACCCCGTCGAGGCGCGGTGTCCAGTGTTCCTACAAGAGGGAATGCCGATCGGGGACACCTTCGGGCCTGCGCGGCCTTGGAGTCCTCTCGTCTTCCCCTGACAGCGGAGCCCACAGTGTGGCAGGAAGCCTGTAGCCCCGACGTCGGGAGTGCGTGGTGACAGTGTGCAGTGCCTCTTGTGAGGGAAGCGTTCAGCCTAACGGTGTGACCACAAGCAAAGGACTGTCCACATTTCCCGTCACAAGTCATGTTTCACACGATGGACAGGCATTGAAGGAGCCTCCTGGGGGTCTGCCCCGGAGCCCCGCTGGTGTCCGGTGCCTTCTCGTCTGGGTGTGCCCTCCAGGAGCCGGGACAGCAAGTGCCCGGTGGCCGTTCGAGAGGGATTCGTGGTCAGGAAGGCTGTCCCCTTGCAAGGAGGTGTCTGCTGCGCAGCTCATGTTACTTTATTTCAGGTGCTGAAGATACTGTGTCTCGGACCCGACTCAGCAGACTGACTAGAGGGAACTTCGAGTCTTGGATTTTGTAAGAGCCAACCAAGGTCACGTGGTCCAGCTCTGTGCCTGAGACCGAAGCCAGAGAAGCGGGCACCGCGTCTCCGGACTCGCCCCGCACTGCCCTTGGTTCTGCTCCCGTGCTCTGAATTCTCAGAGCTAAGCAGTTTTATTTTTAAAACATGTTTTTATTTATTTTTTGAGAGAGAGAGAGGAAGGGAGAAGGAGATAGAAATATCGATCGGGCCACGCCGCTTTAAACAGCAGCCGTCCCCACAGTCCATGGAAGCTCATCATTTGATTGAAAACGTCATTGACCTTCCAACCGTCTGTTTCTTTCACAGCATTGTATCTTATATGTTTTGTCTTTATCTATATAAATTATGTCGTTCTGCAGTTTTGGTGCCATGATTTCTTGGCACCTACAAACTCACAGACAATTACTGTGACTCCTCAGTAAACAGTGTTTGTTAATAATGTATAAGTTTGACACAAAGAGCTTCAGTGTTCTGCTTTGGTGGTCGTTTTGACATCTGAAGGAAACAATGTGTCCTCTGGCAATGAAACGTCTGTGTGCTGTATCTCTCGAGCGTGGAGAAGGAGCTGAGTCCGGAGCCATTACGAAGGACAGGTGGGCTGTGGTTATCTTTTCCAGCAACACCCACTGCCCGTGTTCCTTACACCTCTGCCAGCAACATTCAAGATTCGGAACCTGCCTTTCTTTAGTAGCGTTCCCGTATATATTTGGGATTGGCTTGATGGCTCCAGAAGCCCCAGAAACGAATGACTAGGGGATGAGTTTAGTGTGTACTATCCTGAGTAAATTTTTTTTTTAAAACAATGGATTTTCCTTTTAGAGACGAACTTTCAGACCACATGAGAATTCTCATGTGCTAATCTTGGATTTGACATTTCACAGTAAAGAATTTGACCTCTGAACCTGAACGAAAAACTTGTATTTTGATTGTCTTGCTTGCCTCAATTTCCAGAGCTTCCAAAGTAAAATAATCATTATATACGTGTATATATATTAACATATCCTTACCCGAGGACATTCCTCCATTTTTTGTTCAGACAGAGTGGGAGGGAGAGAGAAAGAGAAACATCGATGTGAAAGGGACACATCGAGTGGCTGCCACCCGCACGACCAACCAGGGCCGGGGACAAACT